GGGTGTCTCACTATGTACTTGAGACTGACCTGGAACTCACTATGTAGTCCAAGCTGGTCTCGAACTCACAGCGATCCTCCTGCCTCAGCCTCCTGAGTGCTGCGATTACAGGCATGCACCACCACGCCCGGCCCCAGTGCCTATGTTTTAATCATGGCCAGTACATTTCAAGAAAATGGTTTGTAATTATCTGAGAATGCCTTCAAATGGGAATCTGTGAGCATTTAGAGCCACATAAGACACACTATCCCAAAATGTCAATGCACAAGGAGCACCCTGCAGCCGTGAAGTCACACCGACTCCCAGAAAGAGGAAAGGCCCGTGTCCACAGCAATCGCTCAGTCCCATTCACGTCACAGCAGCTGAGAGCCATGCCCAAGAGTTTCATGCTGTATTTTGTTTGTCGTTACAGTTTCATTTTGAGAAATGTAACTCACCCTCTCTCCACTAGCTAGAGAGGAATTTTTCCTAAGGCCAACTCTTGAAAGTTTATCCCTTTCAACTATTTTGGGAAGTCCTGGGAAGCCACAAAAGCAAGCGTGTGTGGACGAGTACGGTGGTCTCCTTCTCTGGCAGAGAGAGTTTGTGTCCACAACTTCAAATCAGCACCTTTTAGCAACTAAAGCTTTTATGCCTAATGTACTGCAACCGCTGAAAAGAGAAGGGGTGAGGCAGGTGAGGAGGAGGGACGGCAGGAAGGTCATGGGCTGAGGGGAGCTTCCTGGGCTCAGGGAACTAGGACCAAGCCTAGAAGTGCCTGCAGGATTGCAGTCCTACCTAGGATGAGCTTGAGCAAAAAACAAAAACAAAACCAAAAACAACCAATATAGAAAGCAAGAGAAACAGGCAAGGCTTTCAGTGGTACGATACAAGGTTATAAATGAGGGCATCTTGGCTGTGTAAGTAATCAGAGATTCTAGTAGAAGTTGAACAGTTTATAAAATATAAATTCCCTAGGCCAATTCTGGTTTTAAACCAAAACCATAAGCTAGTGATTAAAATCTCTGCATCATTCCCTCATAGTCTTAAAGAAATAAATCAGATCATGAAATGTGCTAGTGGATTTTTACATCTTGAAAAGAAAAGGGCCAGGGTTTGGCTCAGTGGTTCTGCCGCCTGCCTCGCAAGTGCAAGGTCCCAAGTTTGATCCCTGGTACCAAAAAAAAAAAAAAAAAAAAAAAATCTTGAAAAGAAAAGAATCTTCCCAAGTGGAACCGCATACCATATTGCAATCTTTGAAGCCAGAAATAGCCTCAGGACAGACATTTACATTTCTGACAACTATCAAAGAAAGCAGTACAGTGTAAGCACATTTTCAGTTTGAAATACCAGCACAGCACTTCTGAACTGGCAGAAAGGAAAATCTGAGCACACTGATAAATAGGGTGGGAAGTACACAGGAAGGAATTAGCCTTACATCAAGATTACTCAAAAGACCGTCAAGATTGTACTATGGAAAGCTGTGGGACACTTTGCTCTGTACAGTAAGATACGGAGTCACCCACTGCCAACGCTGTGGTCCTGGGCAAAAGTACAGGTGCTTATGAGACGTGAGGTGCGAGAGGCTTGGCAGAGAGAGAAAGCTTAGGAAGTGAAGAAGGGAAATAGCAACTAACTTTCTGCAAAAAGTCAAATTGTGCAGGTTCTTTTCCTTGAGGAACTTCTAGCTGTCCATCCATGGAGACTATTACCTTTCAAGAAATACACACTATTTTTCTCCTCTATGATGGGAAACTATACTGGGACAAATCGGAGCTGTATAAATAAGGAAGAAGGTACAGAGAGGAGGATGGCACAGCAACATCAGTAACACAGAGAACTCTAGGCATGGATGACCTTTACTTCCCCTCGCGGAACTGCAGATTGAAGCCAGGGCCTCATACGTGCTAGGCAAGCTGTCTACCTGAGCTTATTCCCCAGCCCCTTCCACCTTGACAGGGTCTCAAAAAGTTGCTAACTTGTGATCCTCCTGCTTCTGTCTCCTGAGCAGCTGGGATTTTGAGCTCGGGCCCCCAATCACTGCAGTCCTCAGTTTTGCTGACCCGATGTGACGTTATTCTTGGCAAAGGACAACTGCCACTTTCTCAAAGCCAAAGGGGAGAGGGTAAACAATGTTTTATGAGTGCGTCTAGGTCCAGCCCACCGTGGGAAATCAGGACATCCTGCAGAACATTTTACAACTACCAGAATTCTCAGAGAACAAAGGATCTGCAGAGCAAGGGCCAGTTCCTTTCTTCCAGTAAGAAATCACTGTGGGCTATCCTTCTGATCCAAGGATGCAGACTCTCCCTTCACAGCCGAGAATATTTGAAGTTTACACATGTACACTTGCACACACACCCAAGGAAGACAGGTAAGAAATAAGAGATCAGGTTCCTCCCCTGATGTCATCTGTCTCAGCAACCAACCCTGGCAGCAGGGGCGGCCAGAAGGACCACCTGCAAGTTATGAGGCAGCTTCTTTCACTCTCTGCTGAGAACTAGGACTGTCACTGCCCCAAATACATTGCAGTTCTGTTTCCGGACACATTTATTCCAGGGAGTTTCACAACACAATAGAAAAAAAATAAAAATAAAAATACTATATAAATACCCCAAACGAAGAAAACCAAACTTACATGTTTGTTCTTAGAAGTTTTAACCTACCCAAAAGCCAGGAAACTAGAAACACGTCCCATTCAGAACTTGAGCAGGTTTCCCTCCTGGAGCATGAATACATACTCTCCCAACATAGGACTGCAGCCCTTACCTGTCATGTTTATTTTCCTGGGCTGCTCGTAAGAGCTCCTGTATGTTTTTGGTGATCTGTTCCGTCTTCCGGATGACGTCCTCCGTGCTGGGGAGCATGGGGCTTGGGGACGCATGGGGTTCTGTTGCATCTGGTACTGAGCTATCAGGTGGCCACACCATACTTCTCTGCCCGCCCTTTCGGCCTGACCTGGGAACAGTAAAGAAGTGGCTGAGTGCAACCAGTGCCTGGCAGCTGCTTTGGTTTCTAAGAGACACATCTTCAGCACTGGCTGAACACACAAGCAGGCTGGCTTTGTGGTTTCCCTTATCCGGTTTAGCAGGAAACTCATGGCAAGGGTCTGCTTCATCAACTGGCAGCTATGGCTTACCCAGAGGCTTTCTCATCCCACTCTTGGGCTGGAAGTGAGGACTCTCACAGAAAGGGTGAAGAGAGGACAGGGAGCACCTGCCGTGTGAAGGACGTGGCATTATAAAGCTACCTTGAGTGAAAACAATTTCTTGGGGTACAAATGGAGAAGGTGACCTGATGCCAACTTGACTAAGAAGTAAAATATTAAGCGTGCTGCAAATTCGGAGAGATGTGTCTAACATTCTGGTTAAAGGACAAAAAGCCCTTGCAGCAATGATGTGATCTGAGAAGCACGTAAACTCCAAACATATGCCTGAATATTTTGAACCCTCACATATTCAGAACCCTGTCTGAAAACAGGGATAAGGGCTGTAGGCGGTCAAGGGCTGCCAGGTCTTCCATCCCCCCGGCACACTTTTCCCACAGCTGTACCCCATGTGATCTGGCTCCGTGTCATTGGGAGTGTTGTCATAGTCGCTCTCAGGTGTGCTGTTCTGTTTCTCCAGCCTGGAAGCCTACAAGCAAGAAAAGGGGACCACGTTAGTTTAGAAAACATGAGACGCCTCTTCACAGGGAAGCAATACCTGTTAGGCACCTAGATCTTGTTTGGGAGAGGAGCCAACCCTTTTCTGAAAATTTAGTAAAAGGTGAGCAGTGAATCCCAGACAAGTTTCTTTCTTTTGGCATTGTTTTCTTTTGCATTCAGTGGCTAGTCCATAAACAGATTCCTGGTACAAATGAACAAGTCAACAAGACATACAAGGCTGTCTCATTTGGTTCTCAAAAGAATATGGAATTTATAAGATAAAGAGACCCAGTCAAATAAGCAGACATATAGCTGGGCATGGTGGTGCATGCCTGAGATACCAGCTGGTCAGCAGGCTGAAGCAAGAGGATCACAAGTTTAAGGCTAGCCTAGGCACCACCAAAACCCTCTCACAAAATAAAAACTTTAAAAGGGGGATAGGAATGTAGCTTAGTGGCAGAGAGGTTGCCTTGCATGTGCAAGGCTGAGTTCAATCCCCAGTATGGGGGAGGAGGTGTCGAGCAGACATCCCAGCACTTATATAACCACAGACATTCAGTGCTGAAAGCTACCTGCAGGTTATGTGTTCAACATTTGACGAGAAAATGAAGGGCCAAGAGAGCTGGGTGTCCACCTAAGGCTACATCTGTAGAAAAAACAGACCACGATCCCAAGCCCCTGTCTCCTCTACTGGTATCTCCAATATTCCATACCCAGGGCTTGGATGACTGCAACTTTCTGAGAACCACTTCAGAGATGGCTTTTATGAAACACCAGGGAAAACTTGTAGTAATAATTTATAGCCATATGTCATTTGTGAAGCAAAGTGGATCAACATGGACTTGAAACCACTTGAATCTGTTTCCAAATATATCTACCTCTTATAGGAGATTTGGTCCAACAGTGGAGATTTTAAAAATGGGATATAAACTGGGCGTGGTGGCGCACGCCTGTGATCCCAGCACTCGGGAGGCTGAGGCAGGAGGATCACTGCGAGTTTGAGACCAGCCCGGGCTACCTACATAGTGAGTTCCAGGTCAGTCTCAACTACATAATGAGATCCTGTCTCCAAAAAAACAAAACAAAACAAACCCCTCCAAAAAGGGATATTAGATGTAAATGATGAACCTAAAAATGTTTTGAGCAAATGGCAGTACTGCTAAATACAGGGACTCCCAGGTTAATAAAATGTGAAGGGCAACACATTCCTCTGAAGGGGACTGTTAGCTCTGGAATGTTTAGTGAAAATTATTTTCCCTCAGTATCTATTTTATCCATAATGTTTTGAGAATTTTTTTCATCTAGACCAGAAACTGGTGTAAGCAGATTCAAAACCTAAACGACCTTGCAAAATACAAGAGCTATTTCTAGCTCTATACCCAGAGTTTAATCCAACTTAATAAAAAGATATGGGGCCAGAGATTTAGCTCAGTGGTTCCGCTGCCTGCCTTGCAAGCTCAAGCACCTGAGTTTGATCCCTGATACAAAAAAAAAAAAAAAAAATGTGACTAAGGCCTTATACCGATGTCATAATATAATGAGGCTAAGAATATAACTGTAAGTTAAGAGCTTATTGATAATACTGGCCAGCCCCCGGTGTGGCCACAATGTATTTTCCTGTCCCCACAGCCTTGCTTTTTTCCTCTCCTAGGGTAAGTGCTCTCTGTCTGCTGAGGTCCTTCCCATTTGCTACTTAGCTCCTATTCACCCTATCAGAAGAGTCTTGCTTTGGGCTCCTAAAGCTCAGTATGAACTCTTACTGTATCCACTCAAATTCATCTTGCAGATGATGAAAGAACTAGGTTAGAGCCAGCTAAGGGAGCATGAATAGCTAAGTTCTATAAAATGTTTTTGCCTTTCCCCAGTGCTGAGGACTAAACCCAGAGCCTGTGTATGCTAGGCAAGTGCTTTACCAAGAAACTATACCCCAGCCCAGATACAATTTTAAGATGCCTTCATTAGCATCTCCTACCTATAAGTAGTTCTGCTTTACTTGCTGCCGAATTTTGATCTGGCTTTCTGAGTGAATCAGTGGGTTATCGGCTACTAAGACTGGTTGGGAGAACGAAGGTGGGTACCATATCCAGTGCCATAAAATCAGGATCTTCCAGACACGATCAGAGAAAACCAACCCCCCCCCAAACCCTTCTTACCTTTCACAGAGAATGTTTGACTAACCTTTACATGTATTTTCTTTGTGTATATATTCACACACACACAAACAGAAAAAAATTGCATTTAAATAATTATACTGGAAAGTCCATCCAGAGCTGCTCCACTGGAGGGAAAAAAATCTAGAAAACAGAATTAAACCTAGAAAATTCCACACTTTTATAACGAATCTTTTCTCCTTTAATGTAAATGTATTACAATGATTAAAAAAAAAAAGAAGAAAAGAAACAATAAGTTTCATTTAAACATTTCAGAAAAGTAATGACTCATACCCACTACAAGTCCCCAGGAAATGTTCTTCAAGAACAGCCACCACGACCCAGAAAATCAGCTACTTGCACATTAAATCCATCATTGATGTCAACAAAAGCATACACAATTTTCAATGGAGGCAGTGTTTTAATTTTATGAAAATTACTGTAAACATGCAGAGTCAAGAGCTACTGGTTAAAAGTGCTGCTCTTGAAGTTGTTAATAGAAAAGTTACTGTATAGCTGGTGCTGGTTCAGTTTATTTGATAGCTTTGCAGTTTTCTCTGAATACAGACATGCTACACAAAATTTAAAGCCACGATGAAGCTGTCAGGAATGGTTAGGATGATCGGTTTATAGTTCTATGTATGTTTATCTTTTTTTTTTTTTTTTTTTTTTTTTTTTTTCGGGGGCGAACTGCGGTTTTTTTTTTTTTTTTTGTACCGGGGATCGAACTCAGGTCCTTGCACTTGCGAGGCAGGTGGTAGAACCACTGAGCTAAACCCCCGGCTCTGATCAGTTTAAATGACTACTGTCAATTTTGTATAAAACTATCTCAGCAAGCAATCCTTGCAGTGATTTTTTAAGCCACTAAATAAAAAAAACAAAAACAAAAACAAAAATGCATAGGTTTTTCAAAGAAGTTTATTTGACTCAATAACAAAATTTCAAATGAGTTATTTCATTACTATTTTGCTGTCCTTAGTTTCACTGGAATAAAAATATTATAGTTCAATGTCAGTTTTTTGTTTTTGGTGCTGGGGACTGAACTGAGGGCCCAGGTTAAGTGCTCTACCATTGAGCTACATCCCCAGCCCTACTTTCAGAAGATTTTAAGTACTATATATCAAGCACTGTGTTTACTAGACTACTTCAAAATGCAGTAAAATATCCAAACACCTCAGCAACCCAATGCCCCTCTCAATGGACAGAACGATTCTCTATCACTCCTAGGTGTGGAGCCCAGTGCAAATTCAATCTTGTCTATAAAGGCAGTCCCTCACACACCGCCTTCTCTCCTCACACCTTTGTTACAGTACTCTTCATTAAAAAACAAACAAATAGGGTCAGGGATTTAGCTCAGTGGTTCCATGGCCTGCCTCGCAAGCACAAGGTCCTGAGTTTGATCCCCAGTACCAAACAAACAAACAAACAAACAAAAAAAAAACTGAGCAAGAACTGGGTGGTTTGTATCCCTGAGAGCTCTAAAAGTTTTGCCATCACTGTCTCAGGGACTAAGCCACTTATATCCTTAGGACCTTTAACTGATTTACCAAAAGACTGGGCATGAAGTGCTTAATAAATATGCATTGCCTGGCTGACTACTCCCAAGGAGCTACATAGGTCTTGGGATGTTCTTTTTTTTTTTTGATTTTTTGACAGGGTCTCCCTATGTAGTTGAGACTGTGACCTGGAACTCACTACGTAGCCCAGAATGGTCTTTAACTCACAGCAATCCTCCTGCCTCAGCCTCCAGAGTGCTGGGATTACAGGCGTGTGCCACCACGCCTGGTAGTGACGTTCTTGAGAGGGTGAATTATACACCAACAAGCAGTGTCTGAATAACCAAGTAAAAAGCTCTACGCCTGTACCCCTCCACTGCTGCTAAATGATACAATTCTCATTTAGGGTTTCGATCTCTAAAACCTTGGCTTGTAAAGTATGATGCTGACATAAATATGGCAGGTTTTTTAAAAGGAATAATATTTTTGCACCGGTCCAAATGTAAGTTTTAACATGGTAAATGCAGCTCTGAACAAATTGGACAGATTTGCCTGAAACCAATTTTTAACCAGCAGCCAGCTAATTTTATGATTGTTTAAAAAGATAGCAGTGTGCTCAGAATCAATGTTATAGGGGGATCTGTGATCTTTGTTAAATATAACATGAAAATGAGTAATGTGGAGTCAGAAGGGAGATCGCCTCTGCAGGTAAACGTGCATGTGCACATGAGGTGCACATCAGCTGTGCTGTGAGAAACCAGGGGGATAGAAGTGCTGCCTCATGCAGGAGGGAGGGCAGTTAGCAAGAACAAGGGACAGGGACAGGGACAGGAGGGCCAACGCAAAGCGCCCAGGAGCACTGTCCTTCCTCAGGAGCAGCCATTCGGTGTACTTAACCCTTCGGGTGGTTTCGTCCCTTGACCAGCAAAGTGTGGAGGGGAAGGAAGGCAGAGATGAAGAGGAGGTCACAAGCGCACTCCTCCCGATCTGGAAGGGGAAAGAGAAACATACTCGGGAAAACACAAACAAACAAAACCTTACCACTTGTCCTGGCTTCAGGAAAAGAATCCTAGAGAACAACGTACTATGTGAGGTAAGTCCCGAAATCTCAGCGACAGCTGGTAACAGGGCCCCAGTGCCACTGACCCCTTGGTGAAACACCTCCCAGAAATTACCCCAAATTTAGTAAAGCTACTTTTCCATATGGGAAAAGATAACACATGACATGTGTGTCAAGTTTGCCAACTGTTATTTTTAATGGGTAGCCTAAAATGAATACCTGTTTTTCAATCAGGACTGATAAATATGAAATGAGAAACTATATACATCATGACTGGCTGGTGAAATCAGGACTCTAATCTTTAGTACTATAATCACAGAACTTTTGCACTATGACACCCTTACGTTCTTAATTTTTCTAAAATAAGAGCACTTTGAAAGGTACACAAATAAGATGCTTCACTTACTTCAACAGCATTTCCATTACACCAAATACATCAAATCAATACCTGAAGAGTGTTACACCCAAACAATTTAAAGAAAAGTTGAAATAATGGGCATTTCACAACACTGCAATTTTACCACTCCTAAACTTGACAAAGTTCATCTAGAGTTAAATAGACCACATCTTTCCCCGTGCATTTTGGAAACTCCTATAGTTTAACCGAGTAACACTTTAACACTCAAAATGAAGAAACAGTACTCTCTGAATAAAGCATCACACAGTTTAAAATTTTATAACATTTTGTCAAAACATAGGTTTCTACAGTAAATTAATCCAAAAGCATACAATATTTTAAAAGAACATAATCCTTATACCATTGTAAAACAAGACCGTCAGAACCCTATTACAGAATGCAGTCTTTGTAGTTTAATTAACCCTGAAAGGTGGATGTAGCATTTTTCCACTTCACTTTCAGAAGGTGACAAAGCCACACCTCCACTAGGGAGGAGGGGTAGAGGACGCAGAGGCTAAGCCAGCAGGCACACTGAGCACAGTGGACAGAACCTTCTGGACTTGCCTAAGTACTGGGCCACAGATGCTACCTGCCCACATGCGAGGCATCCTGATTTTAAGGATTGCGGTTCCTAAAGGCCACAGCCCTATTTCAAAGATGACACTTCTGCGAGTGACATTAACAATCTGCTTGTTTTTGGAAACGGGGGAAAATAGGAACTTCGCATAAATGCTCCCACAGGGGCTGGCTGGGAAACAGCACATGGAAATGGGGATGGGAGTAAATGGGGAAGAAAAAAGGGTGAGTAGCAGATGAGTAAGAGCCAGAACCTCCAAGTGGGCTGGAAGATGTTCCATCCGTCTTGTGAGAACACTGTGAGCATCTGTGGACACACTGACAGAGCAAACACGGCAACACTCATAGCCCAGTTTGGCCAAGCAGAGGCACAGTAGTCTGCATATTCAGAAGAGGGCACAGAGTAGTCAGGCTTCACAGAGTGAACAGCGGAAGCACCAGTGGTGTTACTTACGTGCACAGGGAAGGGCTGGAGTCTTGTCCTGCTCTCCTCCGGGTGATTCGCCTCTCCCATTGGGAGATACGGTTTTTGACCTGATCCCGTCTCATACATGGACATGGGCCTACTGCCCCGGGCGGACGGACGTCGCTTTAAGGAAGAGTGGTTGGAAGTTTCTGGATACTCAGAACCAGTTTGCACCTGATATATATTGGATGTGGCCTGTTTCCTGAGGCTGGAATTCTCACTCTGGAGTGTTTGAAGCTGAAAGAAATGTTTGGCAGTGGGACTGTGTTTTTCCACAGCAGACAAGACAAACACCAAGAAAACAAATACAACCACCAGCTTTAAACAATAGGAAAGATAGCAGCTAGCTGTGTTGATAGTAAAGCACCGTTAAAAAGTCTCCTTTCTGAAATGAGTGAAACGTAACTCACTTTATCACAAAGGATAATTAAATAATTTAACTCCTGCACGTGGGAAAAGTTGCAGTCTCAACTTTTAAAAAACTGAATGTCCTGGGCCAAGGATTTAGCTCAGTGGCACCTTGCCTGCCTCGCAAGCTCAAGGTCCTGAGTTCACCCCCTGGTACCAAAAAACTGAACATCCACGTAAGTTCTGTCACGGTGGGGCGGGAAAATGTTTGCAGACAAGCTGTACTCAGGATTATTCTAAGACAGTTTCAAGCAAGAGCTTGAGACCATTAAACCATTGCTGAGCAGCCTGATTCTGAAACGAGCCCTGAGCAATTTGCAAATGTCCAAAGTGACGGCAGACACCATGGAAGCGGCACAGAGACAACTGACATTGCTTTGCAAGCAAGAAAAACAGTGAAGGCCAGCTTATCAATTATCAATCAGCTGCTGATTTCCAAAAAGCCAACAAAAATTATGATCAAAAAGGTTTTATTACAGAATACTTCTGATATTCCAAACAGTTTAGCAGTTTTGAAAAAAAAAAGAGGGAAATGAGTTATGATAAATTTCCTACATTGACGTATGACAAAGACGACTGGAAACTACCCAGCCATGCTAGCATCTTCACAGGAAGGAGCGCTCCCCGTAGCACACTTGCTCCCCTCTGGTGATCAGGCAGCTTTCAGTCAGGGCCGGAGTATCTGGCCTTTCTCTCCTTGGCTTTGTCACCCAAAAAAACATGAACACATTTGTATCGGACTGGCACTCACTAATCTGCCTGCACTATCCGCCTCGGTCAGACACTGCCACTGGAGGCCCTGAACGCGCTTTCCACTTCTCACATGCAGGCTCCTTCATGGTTAAAGGGTCAGAAAGGAATCGTGGGACTCTAAGCATCTGGCAGTTTAAACACAAGTAACTGCGGCCATTCTGCACGGGGTGCTTCCCTCTGGTGTGCCTTCATCTTCGGAGACATTGTTACAAGCTGGGTGTGCTGCGAGCTCAGCTGTCTACTCTTAGACGGAGACTGTGAACTCTGATCAGATTCCCCTCCAGTGCCAGGGTTTAAGTCCACAAGCAACCATGTCTGCACCAGGAGCTCCTCATTTTTCCAACAGCAAACCCATGCAGTGTTAGGAGTTATTTTCAATTTTTATTTAGAAAGCACCGATCTGGGAAAAATACACCAATAGCAGCTGTTCCTCTTCATTAATTAGCATCCTTTTCAAGCAACTGTTAAATGTGAAAGATCAGATACAAATCATGCTACTTAGTCAACTTTACAGAGAAAAAACTTTACCCAGCTTTAAAATAAAATGGATACATCTTTGCTACATAAACAAGTCCACCTCTTTCTATTAGTGCCAAACCTGACAGAGTGGCTTCCTGCCTGGAAGACTATGCCTCATCTCCTCAAAAGGTGAGCCATGAGGAGGGCCAGGCTGCTTCTATACCACAAAGGCTTGTGGGGGTAGCTTGAATCTGTAACCCCCTTTCCAAAAAGAAACAGCTGCGCTGCAACGTAACAAGCAGCCAGGGGAATCCCTACATTCCAGGATGAGGACAAGTGTAAGGCGCCTGCCCAAATGCTTCTCAGGAGCCCGCGGTCTACGTGCAATGATCTGGGTCCAAAGAGTGAGGTGCTAATTGACTCAACAACCTCATTGGAAAGCTCCATTTGTCTTCCTACCTATGTAAAAAGTCTGTTAGCAGGTTTTTAGACCTGACCTCGAAACTGGAAACTTCATGCCAACATCGTTCATGCCTCTGAAACATACAGCCCGGACTGTGTTGGAATGTGTTTTGAGATGAGAACAATTTCCTGATTCCAATTTTAAAATATCTTTGGTACCATGTATGTACGTATGTATTATGTATGTATTGATTTGAGACAGGGTCTCACTCTGTAATTCAGACTAGCCTTGAATTCACTATGTATCCTAGGCTAACCTTGAACTTGCAGTTATCCTCCTGACTCAGCTTCTCTGGTGCTGGAATTACAGGGATGCACTACCACAACCAACTAATACTGTTTTTTTTTTTGGCACTGGGGGTCGAACTCTGGACCTTGAGCCTGTGAGGCAGGCAGCGGCACCACGGCCCTACTACTCTATTTAGAGAGATAACTTTGGCTATTTTTAATGAGGCTTGTCTTAGAGCCAGGCAATACATTTTTAGGGGGCCAGGAAATAAGTTACAGATAATACGATAGTTTGGGAAATCAAAAGCACTTCTAAGAATAAGATAATCAACGAACAATGGCAAATAGTTTTGCCCTGTGTTTCTTCAGAAGCTTAAGACATTTGCTTTCAGATAGAAAATGGATGGAAGTTATCTCTGGCAATTTCTATAAACACTAAAAGGAGATCAAAGAATTTAAAAAGTGATGCTCGGCAGACTCATTTACCATGGGCAACATCAATGGGTTTCAGAAAAAGTCATCTCAAAAAAATTATCAGTCTGATTAATGGCACAAACTATAATCTATTAAACATATAATCTACTTCCTGTTTTGGAAAAGGCAGAAGAAATTCAGGTCCTGTGGCAAAGGGGTCCTTGTTGTGCCTTGGTCAGGGCGGCACACAGCCCTGGATTGAGTTGGGAGGCTCAGGACATGTGTCTGTCTAAAGGCTGACCAACCCTCAGGCGTTCTCATTCCCTGCACGGTCAGCAACAGAGCCACTGGTTTCAAAAGTGCTCAAGACCTGGAACTCAACCCAAAAACCCTAGCAAACCCCAGGTGAAGGTGCATGCAGCTTACTTCCCATGCAAGCAGAGTAGTTTAGTTCTGTAGCCTTCCTTTTGGAAGCAGCACTAAAAAGACCCAGACACAAAGGAAATTTGTCTTTTGCCCAGGTCTTGGAAATCTCATTTTTTGAAGAGGACTAAATGATAGGAGCAATAGCTACAAAATCTCAGGCAACATGAGGGATTTTTCAACTTCCTTTTCTTAGCTTTTTTATAAATAACTACACATGCAAATCCTCCTAAGTGTATGCTTTGTCACTAACGGCCACATGCACTCATGATTCTCTTAAAAGGTAATGAATGGGAAATGTTAAACAGGTGGGGCTGTGTCTTACAACATGCAGTTCTTGCCAGCAGAGACGAAATGTATTCTCTTATTTACTGAGAACCAAGTCTGTGGCAGGCTCTGCTCCAGGCTCAGAAGGACACCACAGATTAAAGTGCTAAGTACGGTGACGGGTGAGGGTGGGTAAGAACTCCAAATTAGCATGTACTGGGAAAGCACTCCTTGTGGGGTGTGGGCTGGGGCTTCTGTGCTAATAAAATGAATACACCTGCCCAGGACTCTCACCTGCTCTGTCTTGACAGTGTGATTATTCTTTAGAACCATCATCAGAAGGAAACATATCCATGCATTGGCATCCAGGTTCCCATAAGCCCAGAATAGTGATATAGGTTAATCTACCTGGGGAATGTGTTCTGGATTTCTTTATAATCAGAGCTACATCATTTGAAATATCCACACACATCCTGGTTGCAAAAAGACAGTGTGGCCCCACAATTTCTAGATCTGTCATAACTGCTTTTCTTCCCTCTAACCACAGCACGATGCCTGAGAGTCTTCCTTATACTACGGGGTTGAAGAGTCAATCATCCTGGCATTTATCAACATGTTACCTTTTTCTGCATAATTCTCAGCTCGTCACTCAAGTTGTTATTCACCTTCATTAGCTGCTGTATCTTGGCCTCAGAAGCCACTAGAGCGTTTTTGACCTCCATAAATTCCTGTACAGTGACTGGTCCATCTGATAAATCTGAATCTAGGCTCTAAAAATAAATTGGGGAAAATGTTCACAATCTGAGATGATGATACCATTAAAGACTAACAGCTAAAGAATTTCAAATTCTGGTTATGCCAGCTGAATTGCAAAGTTAAACCAAATCAGGGCTTCTGAGAATATGTAAAACTGAAATATAAAAGTAGGATCATTATATTATTTTTTTAAAAAAATTTTTTTTGAGAGAGGGTCTCGCTATGTAATTCAGGCTGGCCTTAAACTCACTATGTAGCCCAGGCTGGCCTGGAACTCATAGCAATCCCCGTCTCAGCCTCCCAAGTGCTGGGATGACAGGTGTGCGCCACCACACCCAGCTATTTAAAATAATTTAAAGCCAGTATTTTCTAATGTACTCATGGGGCTACAAATCTATGCTGACAACTGTCTAAAGAGGTCTGTCCTATTTCACATGCCTGTCTCTTGCTCAGTTTCCTTTTTCATTTATTCTTTCATTAATTCACTCATCCAACATTTTTATTGAGCATTAGGTAATTTCTAGGTACTTAGCAAGTATCAGAAAAGAAAACAAAGCTTCCTGCTTCCATGGTGTTTACATCCCAGGAGCATGAGAGAGGGGAAAAAAAAAAACAAGTAAAAATATAGTATTACTGAAAGTGATTAGTGCTGTGGAAAACAGGTAAAATGGAGTGGGGGTGGGGTGCAGGAGCTGAAGTAGGGGTGTAGGTGGGCTGCATGTTAGGGTTAGCCTAGAGCTGAGGAGGTGAGGGAACCTGGCAGGTGCCTGGGAGAATGCTCTAGCCCGCAGCAGCACTCAGCCGGAAGGAGCAGATACAGGGGGGCTGTCAGTCAACAAAGGGCACATCACCCAAGCAGCCCCCAGTGGTCTCGCTTTCCCTGGGGGAACTGGCAGCCTCTGGACAGTCCAGACGGGGCTAATCCAGTCACTGCCAATGACATCATCATTCTCATCGTGTGAGGTGGAAAACTCCAGACACAGCTTCTCTACGTCGTTTTCTCCACTTCGAGCTTCTAGAATTTCCTAGTCTGCCTCCTCTTCACCCTCTCTCCATTTGCAGAGCACCTCAGGGTGCCAGTCCTGGGGATTCGGCAGCAGCTGGGTGGATCCACTCAGGATTCTGTGACCCTCTCCCTCGATCACACTCTGCTGCCTCACTCTCTCCCTGTTGGTGTAGGCCCTGAGGCGGCTCATGTCAGCCTGTCTGGACGTCTTCAGGAAGATGCTACCTGGGCTTCCTCCCTCGACTCTCTGCGGTGCCCTTCTAGATCTCAGCCTTTCAGTCTTATGTCACTTTCCTCCTGCTGTAGCTTGAGTCTCACTTTTGTGAGTGTGTGTGTATGTGTGTGTGTGTGTACTGGGGACTGAACTTAGGGCCTTTGTACCAAGCTACATGCCCAATCCTTTTACTTTTTCAGGATCTTGTTAAATCACTGAGTTGCCCAGGCTGGCCTTGAACTTGTGATCCTCCTGTCTCAGCCTCCCAAAGTCCTGGAATTACAGGCATGCAGCACCATGCCTAGCAGAGTCCCACTCTTTTCAGGTGACCCACTTATGCTGGCGTCCCCTCCAGAGGCCTTGGCTTCACTTTCTCTCAGCCAGACTGGCCTTTCCTGTCTCCTTCACAGGCCTAATACTCATGTCAACTTAAGGCACCTCCTAAGAGTCATCCCATCTACAAAGCCTCCTGGGTGCTGTCAGCACTGAGTTCTCTCCTCATTTCCTCAGCTTCTGCCCATACTCTGTATGACACATATGCCTTTGTGCTTCTTAGTGCATTAGCCATCCTCCCAGGCAGTGATAGCCTCATGGGGAAGGAAGTAAGCTTTGTTCAGAAGAACATCATGCACAGATGTCGCTCTCTAACTGCAGGGCTGTTTCTCAGCATTTGACTCATGGATAAAGAACCCTGATTTTAAAACTGTTTTTTTTTCACTGTTTGGCTTGAGCTAGCAGTGAACCTGACTTTACCTCTACAGCACCTTTCCCAGGGAGAGCCCTCAAGGCAATTCTGTAGAAGGACTTTTAGAAGAGGCACATCCACCCTTTGTCCTCTCACCTTCTGCCGGTTTGCCTTGCTTGCGGTGGTTTCCAAGTCTGTGTCTTCATCTGATGCCACACTGTCATAGTCTGGCTGGTCGTTGTCCTGACTCTCGCTACTGTGCTGGCTATTAACTGTTTTCAGGATAAGCTCCACATTATCTATCAAGAGAAGCAAATGACTTTACTTTAGGCTTAAGTATTTTTTTTCCCTTCCAAAAAACTACTGGGATGACTTTTTGGTTTAGCCATTTAAAGGCCTGAAGTAAAATGACAGCAATAGCCGTATTATAATCACACCAATACGGGGCAGAAAAAGTTACTGACCCAATGGAAAGCTGTATAGAGAGTCAAGCATTCCTCTGCTCTACTGGGCAAATTAAGGGAAGGGTTTAGGAAGGAGCTGCTCAGGTTGAGGAGTCAGATTCCCAGGTTTTGAGACCTATAGCAGGGCCGCAGATCATAAAGAGCTGAGACAATGTAGTATATAAAGGTAATGTAAAGCCATTTGATTATACTTGTAACATGCTTACAAGGTAACATTGAGTCAGAATAGAAAGCAAATTGCTAAACTGCAGCTTAGAAACTAGATGCTCAAAGAATAAGAACATTGGCATTTAGTCACTTGAATCAAGAAACACACATACACACACACACACACACACACACACAGACAAGGGAAAACGTGTCCAGTGGACACACGTGTGTGTTTAACATTAGGGGAGTGTCTATTCCATGGGTATAGAGTCAAAGATGACTCTACAGGCGCTTATGAATTTTGAATAAAAGATTTCACAAATTATCCAATTCTGTCCAGTTTCTTTCTGGTAACTCAGTAGCCTCTAACTTGTGATTTCTAATGTGGTTCCTTTCCCCAGGGCTTTTATTTTTCTTTTCCCTGCAGTGTTGAGGATGGAACCCAAAGACTCACACATGCTAGGCAAGCACTCTATCATGGAGCTGCATCTCCAGCCCCTTTTCCATATCTTTTTTTTTTTTTTTTTTTTTTTTTTTCATC